GAGAGAGAAATTGTGCTGTTCCCAGCATGTTCAGATGTTCTGAACACGGAGCTACATGCAGGTGAGACTGTGTTACCCGGACCTCTCCCCACGACTGAAGAAAAATGGATAAAGAATGTGATAATTTTCTAACATAAAGAGGTACAGGAACAAAGCAAAATTCTGCTGATAGGACTAAAAAATTGTAGCCCCCACCATGGAAACCTGCCACTTTCTTACAAGGTTTAGGACCAACTCACCATAAAACCAGCCATTTCAATACTAGGTGTATCTCTAGGTGAAATTAAAGCTCACGTTCACTGAAAGCACAGTGTGCAGGTGCTCGTGGGGCCTTCACACATGCTGTAAAGTGGAAACTAGGGCTAAACCCAGAGCTCAGTGCAGGGCCGCGTGATGATGGCGTCTGAGGTACTGTTAAGCCCTCATTGCAGCCCTTGTCATGGGATCCAAGAAAACAGAGTCGCTCATTCATTACTGGACAATACGGGTCCTCCATGTTTCCTCAGATGCCAGCAGTTTCCTGTCCCAGGATTATGTCTTGCGTGTGTCAGAGACAGTACCTTGGACAGAGGAGGATTTGGATGCAGATACGATAGAAAAGTGTGGGTCCCTGAATGTATGTGCATGTGCACCTGTGTGTGCATGTGTGTGTGCATGTCCCTGCAGACAGACGGGAGCCCTGGTTACTTGTGTGATGATGGATATCTGGACTTCCATCGTCCTTCTGAATTTGGACAATATCAGCTAATTTTCTTTATCAAAATCACCCAATTCTGTAAAGAAATATATAATAGGATTATTTATTAAAATCAATGTCTTCACCATCATCAATGAAACTCTATCCAAGATTCTGACATAAATTTTCTCAGAAGTGTGTGAACCTCTGTGCAGCCCAGCCCTTCTGAGGACAGTGCTGCAAAGTCAGGATGAAGCCTTGGATTCTGAACCCACATCCTGAGTGCTCCTGGGCTCCTGACAGAACTTCCCTGTGGCTGGGGGCTCAGTGCCAGTTTCATCACCCACCTCCCCCCTAGACGTGCTTCCCTACTTCTGGCATCTAAGACCCTCGCCTGTATGGATGGGTCCAGACCAGTATCCTTCAGGTGCTGCTGGTCTGTGGTGTGAGGACAGCACAGCTGGGTGGGGAGTGGTTGTGGTGCAAGAAGCAATTTGAAACGATGAGTCTGAATCGGGATTGGAATGACCCTCAGTCTTCACACTAGGCAGGTTACACTCTGAAGTTTAACACCTGGGATTTTGCAGTTCATCCAAGAGTTCCAGCTGGACCTTCTCCCAGCTCTCATGTCATCTGGAGACGTCAAACTCAGGTAGGATGAGGCTTGGTCACATTTCTCACATCACATAAACTTTCCATCCCACTATGTGTAGATTTCAACGTGCAACACTGAGGTGAGATTTATAGCACATTGTGTAGTTTGTAACTTGCATAAATATAAAATTACAAAGTATATAATAAGTATTCATTACAGCCCAATCACAAGTAAAGACATTTTCTTGAATGTTATTATGGATAGAAATGCATTGAAATGCAGAGACTGTTGAAAACACTCCTCATGAACTGTGTTTACAGATTACTGCTCAACACACTATCAGTCAAAATCATCAGGATCTCATCACCAAAGGGGGTCTTGCCCAAAACTTTCCTGATGTTGTTTCTGGATCAGTTATGACCAAGACGAGGAGCACAGGTAAAAATGCTGGACAAACTCTCACCTAACATGTGCCCCTGCACAGACCACAATGCGGTACCCGTCTGGGGGCTGCGTACATCAACAACGTGGGATGAACTCTGGCACCGACAACACAGAATCCGTGTGCACACGTGAAATATACAGGTTCTAAGTGTTTACCCTGAAAATTCACACAATAAACATGATGTTTCCAAATGCTACCAACACCAGCAAAGCACAGACACTCACAGCTGCTCAGGGGCCTGGCCCCC